ACCTAAAATAACAACAGGCCACTCAGGTTTTCCCCCACCTTTGTAATCCCCACCCTCTCACCACCTCCAAAAGCATGGTCATGATTCCAGTTGCTGGCACTTTCTTCTGCTCCAGGACACAGCTCCATCTCCACTCTGTGAGCTTCCAGATGTATATTTAAATTAGAACCATATGAACCCCACCTGCACTAGCCTAATGCAGCATCACAGAAACCACTGCCTATTGAGGCAACATTTTAGGCACCAAGTTGCTATATAAATGAGATTCTGCCAGACAGGTATCTTTTTAATAACTATTATTAGAAAAAGGACCTGTAAATAAGGCAAAATGTTTGGATTATAAAATATTGTCATACAATGCAGCATTATTACTTTCAAATACATTTAATAACTGCATCAAGTAGTGCTAAGCAAATTAAGTGTTGTCTAATAGAATATTTAATTCAATACTTGTCAAATTGTTCTGTGGAACATTATTTTCTTTATACTTTTTGCCAAAAAAAAAGGTGTGTTTTTTTTTTAACCATACTGATTTTTCTTCTAAAATGTATTTTTACTGTATTTCTCTTCTGAGATAATATGTCAACAGTATATTTTACCCAAGACTACTCATGGAAGTTTATGAGATGTACTTTTATACCGCAACAATTCCCAGAGAACCACAGTCATACTGTCATATGTCATCTGGCCAATGATTGCTGGTCTATGTTGGTCATCTTTCTTATATTTTTTGTCATATGCCTGTCTTTTTATACAGGTGTTATTATGCACTATCCATTTATACTATCTAAACTCCCATGGATGAATGGCATATATTGTATTTTAGGACCTGTTGTTAAATAAATGCAACTGACATGTCTAAGATGGTTTTTCATACAGAAATAGTTTTGGGGAGCCTCTGAAAACAGAGTTGTATTAAGTAGATAATTAGCTTATATATAGCAATCATTTCCTCAATAAGCTCCTTCTACCCCTCTCTAAATTCTGAATTTCCTAACTAACTCTTTACAAGCACCAAGGATTATATAGTTTTACAAGTCCTTCCCTACTGACTTTTCTTTATAAAAATTCATCTGAAGCAATTGCTCCCCAAGGGTAAGGTGGGACCTGGTAAATACCACAGAAGCAACAATGCAATAGTAAGGCACTATATAATACATAAAATTACAATAATAGCAAACGTCTAAATGTCATACCATCCACCTCAAAGAAGAGTTAAGGATATAAATTCTTGGGTTCTCAAACCTTTTTATTCTTCTTTTAAGAAATTATTGGTTAGATCTTCTCCATAAAAGTCACAAGAAATATCTTGAATCTCCAGTGTTGTCCTCATTTGGCCCTACAATTTTCACGAGTGGCCTGGGCACAAAGACAGTTCTTATTTCTTCAGTTTATGGGGGGGGGGGTCAGCAACCAATCAAAGAGTAGGGACTCTTCTTCACCATAAACAAGAAGCAGTTGGATTTCCGATATTCTCAGAAATCTGACTTCAGAATAACCTTGAACTTTGAGGTCCCTACTTCGGGTATTGCCTTTTAATATTTAATTAAGTATCTATCCTTCTCTCTCTCTCTCTCTCTCTCTCTCTCTCTCTCTCTCTCTCTCTCACACACACACACACACACACACTCACTCACACACACACACACACACACAAGAATTTTCTTTTCTTAAGCCTAGAAAAAATGATTTCCTATTGAAATTATTCTTTGAAATTTTTCCTTATGATATATTTATCTTTTCTTAGGTGTGCTGATCAACGATCTGGCTTCTGACAATTTGAATACAAGCTGCTTAATTTTATTAACATCTGCTACACAATAATCTTAATATAAGAAGTGGAGCTCTTGGCTATAAGAAATGTACTTGGCTCTCTGCTCTCTTCTCACAAAGCATAGTCCCAAGTGAGCTCATTCACTCTTGTATACTGATGACTACCAGATCAGCATCTCTCTTCCCTGATCTCTCACTCTGGCATTCCAGCCCACTTGGCTATTTCTACTAATGTTCACATCATCAGAAATGAAACTGAAGCCTTTCTGGCGATGACGACCTCCCCACAATATGCCTCTCGCTAAGGATTCCTCCGTCCTTCTCCAGAAGAGAAGAGGAAACACAGGAAGAAGCACCTGGTGCAGAGCCCCAATTCCTACTTCATGCATGTAAAATGGCCAGGATGCTATAAAATCACCACCATCTTTAGCCATGCATTAACGGTAGTTTTGTGTGTTGGTTGCTCCACTGTTCTCTGTCAGCCAACAGGAGGAAAAGCAAGGCTTACAGAAGGATGCTCCTTCAGAAGGAAGCAGCACTAAAAGCACCTCAAATCAAGATGAGTGGGAAACCATTCCAATAAACACATTTTGGATACAAAAAAAGAAAAAAAAAGAAACTGAACTTGGCTTCCAAACCAGCTTATCTTTCAAACTATCCCCTTCTGCAAACAGTACAGGCAGTCTCCTAATACCCCAAAGGAAAAAGGTGGAAGAAATGTTTGACTCAAACCAACCCTTTATCAAATCTGTTCGAAAGCCTTGCTGCTTCTTTTTACAGAATGTCGCCACATACTTCCTCTTCCTCTTGACTCTAGCCAATTCAGTACTAGTATAAGGATTTACTGCCTTATGTCTATACTAGAGGCCTGATGCAGAAGATTTATGCAATAGGCCTTCCTTCCCCTGGGTGCCGGCACCACCTTCGCTCCGGCCCAGAGCTGCCTTTCCACATTTGCTCCAGCCCGGAGTCGCCTTGCTGCCTTTCCACCTACCGCCTTCGCGCGCTGCCCGGAGGCCAGGAGCAGGCGGGGTGGGGCGGAGCACCTGCACCCCAACCCAGCCGCCACCATCTTTGTCACGTCAATTTGCATATTTCCTCCTTATTGGCTGTGGGCGCCACCATCTTTGTCAAGAAGTGACAGTCAATTTGCATATTCTGTCTTTATTAGATAGGATAACCTCAACAGATTCTCAGCTCCTTACTGCTTCTGAGTCTTCCTACACACTGCTACCAGAATAATCTAGATTGACTATACTCTTAGCTGTCTTCTGGGTCTAAAATTTTCTATGAAATTAATTTTCCAGTCCTGCTTTTCTCAAGCAGCTTTCTGGTATACTGAGTAACTTCAAATGGTTTACTTCTATCTAACTCATAACTCTTCAGAGTGGTTCTCAGGGTAATTCACAATCAGATCCCAAACTACCTACCCTGTTTTCCCAACTACTCTTAACATGCAACAAAGATTCCAAGTCAATCTCCTCACTTCTTGTGATTCCGGGTTCCTTCATGACTCCAAGCCTTTGAAAGCATTGTATTCATATTCAGAATGTTATTTCTCCCTTCAAAGTCTTACCCAATCAGGAAAGCCTAGCTTTTTTCCCATGTCCTTTGGTCAGCTTGGCCTGGGCCATAACCATAACTTTGTTGCTTCTAAATTCCCTTTAAAACCTTTGCCCTTTTATCAAGAGTATGAATTCATCCCTGGCTAGTGTTTCTCAGTGGTTGGAGCATCCCCTTGTGCACCAAAGGGCAGCGGGTTCAATTCCCCGTCAAGGGCATGTACCTGGGTTGTAGGTTCAATCCCTGATCTGGGGCCAGGGATCGTGCAGGGGGCAACCAATTAACATGTCTCTCTCATTTCGATTCTCTCTCCCCCTCCTTCACTTCCTTCTACTCTCTCTAAAAACCAACTAAAAAATATCGTTAGGTGAGGATTAACACACAAAAAAGTGGGGAGATATGAATTAAGATCACAGAGTCTTATTTTATTTTTTGCTCCTGTATAACCAGAACCTACAACAGTGCCTAATACATAATAGGTAAATCTCTGTTCATAAATATTTGTTCATTGGTAATAACTGACATTTACTGAGCATTTACTATATGCCAGGCACTGTTTTAACTTCTTTAACTCTTATTGAACCATTAAATGACACTTAACTGTCTCTTATTGTTTCACAAATGGCAGTTATATCTCCTCAAAAACCAAGAAGCCTTTTCAAAGCAAGTAATGTATCTAGTATGCCTATTGTAATCTCCATAGTGCTGAACACATAGGAAGTTTTCAAATATATGCTGGGTATAGTACAAGAGAAGGGCTACTGAATTATAGTGTCTTAGGTATGCTATGACTGGTTCTGAAATCTGGGGCAAATTTCTGAATTTTACATGTCTCAGTGTCCTTATCTGAAAAACCAAAGACTAAATTACCAGACCTGGAAGCACTCTCCCTACTCTAAAATTCTATGTCCGATTTTTTTCATATTACCACTTTTCTGGGGTTCTGGTGAATATTAAAAAGAATATCTCACTGGGTTCTAAAAATGCAAATTTTTGTGTGTAGAAAATAATTCTGAGAATGATTCATACTCTCAGGCTTCCATCCTCTAATGCTCCACAGGATTTTTTTTAAAAAATCTACCACAAAGGCAAGGCCCAAAAATTCCACATTTCTCTACATCTTTGGTATGAAGGAACAGAGGGGAACTGCTCAAAGGACATCTTCTGCCCCAAAGTACAGCCTCACCCTGAAGGAGAAGAGCTTCCCACCACAAAACTAAACACTAGCTGTGCTAGAGGAAAGGTGTTTAAAAGGAAAAAAAAAATCAGCAAATTCCCTGGCTCTCCAGTCTCCTGATTCAGAACAATGAGCTCACTGGTGGAATTGGAACACATTTTGGGGCCTGCTCTGCCTTGGAAAAAGCATTTAATTTCTCTGAACCTCTTAAGGCACCTACCTGAAAAGGAAGCCAGTGGGGAAACCCATTTACATGTGAAAAATGCATACATTTAAAAATGGGAAAATATACTTAGAAGTTGTAACACCACTCAATGAGAAGAATTACCCCCACTTTGTTCATACTAACTCTACAGCAAATTAATGAGGACAGCAAAATCTCTGAGGACAAAAAAGGGATGGTGGCCTCTGCCACAAGGAATGAAGAAAGTCACACATTATCTTTAAGAAGCATGAAGAAGGATTAAAATGAGCAGAAATTAATTACTCTTTGGTAAGTAGGATAGCAGTCCAGTGCCCTTTCAGACATCCTTGTAGTTCTCTGCCTCCATGCTGAGCAGCCCTCAGGGTTCCAGAGAAGACTGCCAAATTCTGGCCCAGATCTTTGGTTTATGAGGAAGATACCTAGACACTGGCTCTCCCTCTATAGATTACTAATAATCCCAGTAGTCAGATTAGGGTCACAATTCAGTCTATCTGTAAATTATTATACATCCAAATATTATAAAGTTATGGTTTTCAATCTTGAGACTTGATTAATCTTGTATAGTTCATGCCCTAGAACCCTGTGTCCCAGAGCAGTCCTGCAGTGAGAAACCTTCAGGTGATAGGAAGAAAACAAATTAAACATGTCAAACACGTCTGTAATCCAGCATGAAAGTTCTCTGTGGATACCTAGAAATTTATGAACATGTAGATAACACTAGTTTCAAACCACACTCCCAAAAAACAAACTAAATTTGATGAATGCTTATATAACGACCAGTTTACTAGTATGAGACTTTTATTTGTTTTTAATTAACCCATCTCTACTTCAAGGTCAAACCACACTACAAGTCTCCAATGTTAATAACAGAGAAATACAGTTTAAACCAATAATTAGAGAATTATTTTCTGTAAAGGGCCATTTAAAAAATATTTTTGTCTTTGTGGGTCACCTGCCCTTATAGCACAATTCATAGAAAAATGAGTTGTGGATATGACATGAAGTATTTAACCATTTAAAAACATAAAAAGCATCCTTACCTTGTGGCCCTACAAAGGTGGCAGTCTAGATTTGGCAGCTGACTTAGGCAGAGTTTAAGACTAGAGGCCTTGGAGACAAAAGGGAAGGAAGGAAGATATTTGCCAAGAACTTTGTTCTTTTCCTAACCCTACCTTCATCCCCCTTTCTTTAAAGAAGGCTATTTAAAACAAAATGAAATGAATAGAGGAAGTCTCCACACACTTTATTTTCCACTTTCCCTGCTTTTTCTCATCTCAAGAAAGGATACAAAATGCAATAACCAGAATCATTAGAATTAACATAAAACAATGATACACTGAAGAAAGGAAATAACTTGCTAAGAAAATTTTAGATATCTCCAATTATTTTTACATATGACTTTCATACTACCTTGTTACTAATCAATATATCTTATCTTCCTGTGCTAAAAAGTAGAGGGAATACAACCTGGACTACTGCCAATCTTTAATTCAGCTTGCAGAAAGTGAAAGATGATCTAACTACCATCACCTTTTCTCCATAATGCTTTTCTCAGAATAAATATATCCATTTTTTAAAAATTAAATTTCATTATAATAATCTTCCATTTTTTCCTTAACTTGTATATGAACATAATCTACCCTCATATTTCCTGTAACATATTGCAATTAGAATCCTAAATATGTAAGTGAATTTTAGGCATCCAGACAAAGGATACATTTCAATCATCCAAAAATGCTAGATATCTTTTTGAGTATTAAAATTAAGCCTTTTGATCACTCCTTCCTAAAACGCAAAATGCTAACAAAGAGCAGTGTATAAAGAATAGGCTTTTGGATAGACTGCAGCCAAACTGGTTTTCAATAGGGTTGATTTTTGCTCCATAGGACATTCAACAATGTCTGGGGACATTTTTGGTTGCTACACCTGAGAGAAAGGAGGGAAAAAGGTGTTTCTGGCATATTCTGAGTAGAGACAAGGATGCTGCTACAACACATAGGACAGCCCCCACACCAAAATGTTACAATAGCAATGATGATGTAAGGCAGACAAAGATAGAATTTGTACAGTTTTAAGCTGAAGTGCTTCAAGGTTGATATTTTCTTTAGAAAACAGCATGTTAAAGTTAAAAATTTAACGTAAAATATTTACTGGGTTGGTGTGGCTCAGTGGTTGAGCGTAAGCCCATGCACTGAAGGGTCACAGGTTTGATTCCAGGTCAAGAGCTCTTACCTGGGTTGCAGGTTTGCTCCCTATCCCAGTTGGGGCAGGTGCAGGAGGCAACCAATCAATATGTCTCTCTCAAACGGGTATTTCTATCTATCGCCACCTCCTTCCCTCCCTCCTCCCTTCCTCCTCCTTCTCTTCTTTCTTTCTTTCTTTCTTTCTTTCTTTCTTTCTTTCTCTTTCTTTCTTTCTTTCTTTCGCGCTCTCTCTCTCTCTCTCTCTCTCCCCCCCCCCTCTAAAAAACAATGGAAAAAATATCCTCAGGTGAGGAGTAACAAAATTTTTTTAAAAAACACCTATTTAATGGATAACTACTATATGCTTGTCGGCATAAAAGTACTAACAACATTAAAGCATCTCACAGAAAAAACTATGTTATGACCTCAAGAAAATGAGTGTATTTAAAGCAAATGATTTACTTCCTCCTTTCATAAGGCAAATTTAGCAATACTCAAACTAGGTTTCATATACTAGGTTTGAACTCCATTTCAATACAATTAACCCTCACACTTATTTGATCCTAAGCATAATTTCAACCTTGAAATTAGCAGCATGGCTTGAAATATGCTACTGAAAGAGAAACCCCTTTTAGCTAAAATAGTCTGCTTCCTCTTGACAACTATGAAAAAAAGCAAAATTCACTCTTTCAGAGTTCCTCCTCCCCTCTTTAGTTCTATATGTACTGGAAAAGCAGATGCTATGCTACTATGAACTTGACCACCAAGACAGACAGGGTCAAAATGCAATGACTTTATGATCCAGCAACCAGAGATCATGTCGCAGCTGCTGAATATCCTTCCATTTTCTTAAAGCTCTCTATGGAAGGGAGGGAACAACAAGCAAAAACAGACTGTTGGACTAAAAAAAAAAGCTAATAATTAAGCAGGGGATCAGAAGCAGCTACTGAACTACTCCTTCTAGGAAAATCTCAATACTTATGCCATCTGTCAAAAAAGGCCAAAGTTTTAACAGCCATCACAAAAGGCGATAGCTGACTCAAAGTGAAAACAACAAATAAAATTGGTAATTTTAGTCAATGTTTTTTCCACAACCCAGAAATCCCTTAATGCTAATGAGTAACAGAAAATCTCCTGCAAAACAGGATTGCAACATCCCCAAATAAACGGACTTGTTTAGGCCCTGACAGCAGTGCTGATCTGGGAACAACACATTCAATTCAATTTAAGAAATAATAAACTGAAACCTTTAGACCAGATGCAGTCACGAGTGTTTGTCCCAGGGGTGTATAGGAAGTAAGTTGAGTGTTAGTGAAACGTGCTGGGCAGGAGGAGTCCTGCAGGATTGTTGGACGCGGGGCGGGTAGAGGAGACCAGCCTCGCCAGAGGCTTTCAAGTTCTTGCATTCCTCCTAAAAACCTGGTTGCCACCACTGTCAAAGTTCCACCCCTCCCCAAAAGTCACAGATCTCAAACATTGTACCCCCCAAAATGAAACAAGCTCCCATATACACCCCTGCCCAAACACCAGCAACAAGTGCTACAGTTTAGATAGAGCGCACTGGAGTGTGAAGAAGCAGGGAAGATCATGTTTTTCTACCTATCATTAAACATTCACAAATTTCTTAAAGCAAGATAAAACAACTGGAGAATGGAGGTCAAATTTTATTAAACATCATCTGTGTTGGACTCTTTAAAAAGTACTAGAGATGTAAAGCATTTAAGCTTATTTTTATATGTGTATTACACTTTTACAATAAAAGTTAAAAAACCAAAAGGCACAATAGTCCCCACTTTCCAGTTTCTTTCAATGGAATACTTACGTAAAGACATTCTCACTTTATCTGGGTACAATAATAAAGTTTGAAATTTCATTTTCATATTTCTCATCAGTCCCAAAAGTTACTATTAATCCCTATGGTCCTATGCTATACTCGTTATTTAAAGATTGATCATTTGTTATACAAAACCTGGCTATTAATTTAATTCTCCAGACCCAAACAAAAGACATCATTTTATACACACAGTTGATCCTATGTAACTTGAGAAATATGCTTGTAAGAAGTGATAAAGCATTTCAGAAAGACCCTGACAATGTTTCTCCTTTCTAGCTGCTGGAATTCTTACATTACCTCAAAACATCATCTTTAGGGCATTAGGCCCTTGCCAGCCTTTCATTCAGAGTTGAATTTTTGTTAATTTTTCTAGCTGATATATATTAACCCTGAAATATGTACATATGCTAAAACAGACAAGGCCACCTGTTGCCTCCAGGCCTCAAACAAATTCCTCCCAGGAGCACAGGGGGAAAGCCTTCCAAAGACTATCTTAGAAGCAGGCAGCTGCTCTAGGGTGGGAGAAACTGAAGCACCCTGAATTAGGCCCACTTTTGCCCCAGAGTCTGGCCAAGTGGTGGGAAACACAGAGTTGTGGGAGTAAGGAAGGAGTGAAAGCCAGAATAACAGCAAAATAGACTGCTCTTAATCTAGGATGGTTTTAAAACATATCTTATAAAATGGACTATATATCTTCCTGAAAGTTCCATATTAACTGAAAGAAACTAAAATGGACAAATCAGAGGAGTTCAATCCCTTCCTAGATAAATCAGTCCACTTGCATCAATGACATATAGTGCCTGCCTACCTTGGCTCTAATATAACTAAGGAATTCTGTAGCCAACCACAACAAAGTACTACGATACACTGCAATCTAAGTTTTGCTGTTTGGTGTTCTCATCAAATTAAGGTTTACATGATAGTAGTAGTAAAAAAAATAAATAAATAATCAAGTCAATGTTGGATGCTGGGCTACATAATGATTTTCATTACAATGTTTGGCTCTGAAGAGAGCTAGAAGACATTCTGGGGGAGGTATAAATCTTAAGTATTAAGTGTTCAGTAAAAGGAGCATATTAATTAGGGTTTCATAATAAAAATTACATTTAAAAATATAACAGTCATAAGCTAAGGAGCAACATGTTCTCTGGCTTCCCCATCAGGTCTTTCTACAAGTAGGCTGGGGCCTAACAGTAGATAAAGGATTACTAAGAGACAGTACAGCCAGCAGCTGACAGCATAGACCCCAAAGGCCGCCCATTCAAATCTCAGCTTTTAGCTGTGTGACTTTGGACAAGTTCATCTCCCTGTGCCTCAGTTTCCTTACCTCCTGGGTGATGGTAAGGAAATAGACTTTATCATGGAAGACTGATATCAGATACACAAGTTAGGCTTACATCAGGTTTATCCTGTCCACCTGCTTGGGGATTTAGTGGCTCTCCGAAACTAAATCAGCAGACTGCCTTCTTCCTGCACAGAAATCTAGTACTGAAAATCTGAGAAGCATACCCTTAAATACAAAAAACTCCACCTACCAAACCCTCTCCTCTTGTACACAAAACAGAAAACACACAGGGCCTTCTCTTCTAGCAGCCACTGTCATTTGCCATGAAATGCTTTACACTCTAAGCAGAAATTCAGCCCCTTGACAAGGACTAGGGCTGTATATTAAAATATT